CCACGTTCTCACAGATACTTTTCTTTTCCATGCTAAGTGCCATGACATGGTTCCTGTCCCTGAGAGAATGTCCCTCCAAGGAGATGATAGCCCCCATTTTCCGGAGAGGGTTTTGGCCTCACACTTTGAGATTGTCCTCTGGCAATATATTAGGCATCCTGTGGAAAGAAAGCAAAAGAAACAAAGAGAAACTGTGGGGTACTGTGTGTTCTCAGGACTGGCTCTGTAATTTGTGAGGCCCAGTGCAAAATGAAAGTGAGCCCTTTGCCCACAACAGCAGAGCATTAAACCAAGTGAAGGGCCCTGTGCAATTACACAAGTCTCACACCCATGAAGCCAGCCCCTGTGTTTTCCTATGGAGCACCTAATAAGATAATGTATGTAAAGTGCTTAGCACAATGACGCCTGGCACATGCTAAGTACCCAGTAAGCATTAGCTCTTAATACTATTGTTATTATTAACCCTGATCACTGAGTTGCTGATCAACTGAAGAGAAATAAGCCAAGGAGCAGTTGTGGCAATCCAGGAACTGAAGAACTTCTAGCAGTGTGTGGCTGTTCGGGCTGAAGAGTACTTTAAAATATGAAGGAGTGGAGGACTGAGGCGAAGTCAGTAAGAAGAACGGCATGTTGAGTATCCAGCTGAAAACATTCTTTGGGAACATGCAGGTGGCAACTTGAAAAGACAGACCTCAACTTGCACTGATGTACTTTTTTTAAGAAGCTGTAAATCTTGTTTTTAAACATGAATTTCTACCTTGGGATTAAATGGCTTAATTGAACTCTAATCCCTTTTTAACAAGACAAGGAGGAAGGAGAAAGTCAAGGGCTTATCAGAGACCTGTGTGCTGGTCTGAAAGGAAAATGATTACCTCCTATGATACTTTCTATCTGAAGCCACTGTCTGGATCTCTAAGATATTGGCTGATCATGTAATTCTGCCCTCCAACCACACTACACACACACACACACGCACGCACACACACACACACACACACACACACACACTCTTTCTCCTCCATATACATGCTCCTGGCATAAAAAACAAAACTTCCTACATACACAGTCCAAATACTTTTTTTTTTTTTTTTGGCA